GGATTGCTAAGTTTATATCTGTTTGATAATTATCGGATAATTATCTGATAATTATCTTGATAATTATCGCGATAATTATCAAAAAATATATTTATCTTGATAATTTCATACCCTGAAAGAAACATTTTTCAAATCGGGCTGGTAGACGGGAGATTTGCACATTGTAACAAAAACATGCTTCAGATTCATACATTAGTACCTAGCTAAAGCATATCGAACCTTACGAATTTCGATTACGATTACGGGCAATCTCACTGAGTAGTCAGATACGTGGAATAGACGCAGATGTACTTGCTAGCCACTAAGCCACAAGTCAGTTCAATAACAATACTAAAACATTAATACAGAGGACTAGAGGCTATAGAAAAAGTTTAATTGTTTTAGATTTATTTGTACAGCAAAAATACGAATTTTATGATGTTTTTGCTTATAACCTTGAAGTAAAAATGGAAAAACATTTCTAAAAACAAGCTTTTATTTGTTTATTTTCTTCTTTTTAGCGTATTTAAATAAAAGGTTGTTTTTTTAAATGTTTATTTTATTGATAATTTATTTATCTTTTTTTTCAATTTACAAGGTATGATGGGTGAGTAATAAGTAGAACAACCTACATGTTAAACAATATATCACTATCTATATTATACATGTTGTAAGTCGGTGCCAGCCGATACAAAGCAAAGCACACCGACTTCGAAATTATTTGTTTAGGTAGGTATGTATAGTGAATGAACACTACCAATCAGTTATTTTTTACTTTTAAGTGCTTTTGTTTGAAGTCTGTTTTATTTTTTTGTTAAAAAGTTTTTATTAAGTAAGTACATATTTAATAATTTAAACAATAATGTTTTATTATAGGGATGCATCGATACGCACTTCTGCCTAATAATAAAATTCAGATTAGAAATTAATATTTAAATTATTAAAAACGTATCGGTATATCGGCAAACTAATATCGCCGATATATCGTGTGCATCCCTAGTTTTTTACTTATGGCACTACCTAATATGTGGGTAACATATGTGTCTACATTCTATTTAAAAGCTCTTAGCTAAATAATTGAATTTTATTTTAAAAAGACTTCTTGAACACTATCATGGCTATAATATGCAAAAGTCATGTGCATGACTTTCAATTTGAAGAAAAAGGTACTATCAAGAAATGTCGTGAAATAATGTGTGACTCGGTGCCGGGAATGCTCGCCATTTTACTTTTTCATTCTCCCCCATAATTACGTAATTAGTGTCGATGAATTGAAAGTGCATTTATGTTGTGGGTCCTTTTGTCCGCGGTCGGCGTGCGCCTGTGTCGACTTTTGTTTAACGTTTGTAACAGCTGTTTGTGGCTTAATTTTTGCAAGTGAGATAGTTTCTCGTTTCTTTTATCTGTTTAATTAAAATTAAACACTGTTGTTTTAGTATTTAATTTTAAAAGGGTAAATTGAGTTTATTGAAATAAATATTTGTGTCGTATTACAATTATAGTGTAGAGATATTCAAGTATAATAAATAAATAAATATGTAGGGACATTAAGACACAGCGCCATCTAGTTCCATAGTAAGCTACGAAGCTTGTGTTATGATTACCAGATAGTTGATACACTAACTAAAACTTTAAATACATACATATTATAAATATAAACACCCATGACTAGAGTACAAACATTCGTGCTCATCACACAAATGAATGCCCTTAGCGGGATTTGAACCCGCGACCGCTGGCACAGCGAGTAGGGTCACTACAAACTGAGCCAAACATCGTCAAATATAGACATAAGAATTGGTATTTATTATCATCACCACGAAATGTTTAATACTTTTCTTTTGCCTACCTTTTACAATTAGGTACTTGGAAAAAATCATTGTTATGTAGGTAAATATTGATTAATATCCTTAGAATATAGTTAAAAGTTAATTTCTTATCATTAGTAAAAGAACTTGCTTATAATATTTTATTAATACTTCTAAGTTTTAATAAAATATATATGTATATTCAATAAAAGCATATTTTATTTTATTTCAGAATAATCTCAATTTATTAAATGATAGAGGTGCATTCGATACGCTGATATGAAGGGTGGTAGGGTTGGCACTTGGTCCCACGTAACTTTGTGCTGCAATGTGGCGGCCAAAATGTTCAATTAATCGAAAAACTATTTAAATACAATTTTGTTATTATTTTGTGCATGTAAGCAATTTGAAACAGCTGTCGAACTAAAGTATTGGTAAGTGATTCTTACTCAACATTATTAATTTTAACTTATAACTTTGTTGCCAAGTAATGAAATTATTAAATCAGTTGGAATTAGGTATACTTTTTGTTTGTGTTACCATTTCATAAAAGTACAGTCGAAAAACATTCAAATCTTAAATTTGACAGTATCTTTGAAATATACCCATTATAACATGATTTAAAATACTAGCATGCAAGATTTACGAGACTACTTCTTAAATAGCAAGAAAAAGATATGAATTGATTTTATCGAATACGCCCTAGTTTACATTAGATTTATTACAGACGGACGTGTAGTAATAATTCCTTTTCAATTAGAGCTCAATGAATATCTTAGTTGAGTTGCATTCGAGCGGTTTCACGATTCGATACGCAATATCGATGTACGTACAACTCCCGATAGATCCATTCATCATTATTATAAATGTGCTACACTCACTTATTTACGGAAATCGATATTTTTTTCGGTATCGGCAATGAATGCTCAATTTCAACGCGTCGATAAACGTGACGGTATTGTGTGGGATGACCCCGCCATTGTTGCCGCAGCGGCCTGCTGAGCACCATTGACTCCCAACACCACACGTTACACGAAAGTAGGAGAGTAATTAGTTCCGCATCCATATGATATCATTTTGTAATTATCGATTATGAGGTCACGGTTGTACTATTTTATCAGACCTTAATCATAGGCAATATTAGATTAATGATAGAAAATAAATATATACAGTAAGTCATTAAAAATAGGATGATGTATGGAAACGAAAGAGATATATCTAAAGGCTGTATAGGAAGCATGTGCAAATTCGTGCGGTGCCGAACTAGAGTATCGATAAACGTCAGTGGGCAATCAGTGGTCGGGCAATTTGCGAGCGATTGTCCGTAGCGAGACGCGAGCACGCAAATTGGATGGGAACTATTTACCTACAAACAGAGCTATTTGGACCTTATACGACTGAATAGTTCCTGGTAATAATAGTTAACATACATATTTCTTGTATAGAGTAGAAATGTTATAAGATTTGAAGACAAAAAATATACATAAAACTTTAAAATAAGTACCTAAAGAAGTTACTTTGATAATACAAATTAGTGAATAGTAACAATTTTTTGCAACTATTAAACAGTGCCGAAAGCTCCAACGGGAGTCACATATGCCTTTATATTGCAGAGTACAGTTGGTCAAGAAATTGATATCGATATCAATTTTATTCAAGTCAATATACGTTTCAAAGCTCGCAATCACGAAAACAAATTTGCGTTCATTTCCTTTCTCTCGACACAGACGTACTTATAGCGGATCTGAGTAATATCTTTTATAAGGCGGTACGTAATGGAAACCATTTCTCATCAATTTTCTAAATAAAGGCGCACAGAAGCCAACGGATAAAACAAAGCGCAAGCGCTCACGACATAGATTGAGCTGAATTATCGCTTTACCGCAGAACACAATCTGCCGGTACGTAGGGCTATACGTGCCTCGTGTGCGCCGTGTATCGCCTATCGCCCGAGGCAGAACCGCCGTGTGCACTCCGCTGCTCAGATAACACGTGTGAATTATGTTAAATCCAGACAGTTTTTCTCTTTTATCAATTCACTTCACATCTGCAACGTTTGGTACTGATTAAATTCAAATCGCTCGCCGTTTTCTTTTGAGCGTTTAAAGGTTGAGATGCTTATCGCGAGAGTGTACTTACCACTTTCACGACCAACATGTTCAGTTATCTTTGAAATTTTATAAGTCTTTTTTGCGTTAAATGTAAATAATAAATAAACTCGAAGGTAATTTCTCCTACTCAACAATGTGTTATTATTTACCCATAATTCATGAATAAAATACGGTAACAAAAAGGTGTCGGTAATTTCAAAGTCGGCAATCAAAATGTTATATCGTAAAGTACCGCAAACTGGGTGAAAGTGGAAATAGGCACACTCATGACAAATGGGTCCCATCTTGCGCTTGTATTCAGCATGTCGCTTGCCGCCTATAATAAGGCAAATTGTCAACCATTGTAATTTGCATGTCACAGGATTCATTAGACTATGACCGATGCCATTAGCCTTTGTTCTTATTTATATATAACAAGCATTGCCCTCGGCTCCGCCCGCGTGCAGATGACCAAAAACCAAATTCTTAGGTTTTACATATTAGTATACTCTTACACTGCAGTTTTTTTTCTCAAATATGAGATATTTTCCCGCGGTAAAAAGTATCCTATATGTTGACCCGGATAACCAGCTATCACCATAACAAATTTCATCAAAATCCCTCCAGTGGTTTTTCTGTGATGCTGTAACAGACAGACACACAGACAAAAATTCTAAAAACTATAGATTCGACCACTGTATCGATAATAATTTTGGTTTCAGTAAGATTTTCCAAAAAATATCTAATGTACAGATTCGGCTTGATTACAATTTTATTATATTCCGACCATTGAAGAATATTTTGGAACATTGAATCTGCGGCGACTGTGAAAATTATTTTAGAATCTACTTAGACATCAAGCTACTATGTTTCAACCCTGTATATAACTTATTAAGTAATAATGAAGCATCTTGATAGTATATTTCAACTACTAACATTCGTCAAACGTGTAAGTTCATATGAAATATAATATTATTTATTTTAATAAGAATTAGGTACGTTCGTATAAGATATTTTGTAGAAAATTCTTATAAGGATTAAATAAATTGAGTAGTAGAACATTTTTCAAACATTCGGATCAACATATCAGCCAAATCTTCTTTTTAGTAAAGGCTATAAGTTAACGTTCTAAGCGCGTAATCGGTGCCAAGTCATGGCCAATCGTTTCTCCATGCGTCATTTCCGCATAAGTCGTGTTAAGTTTAGTATCTCCGTCTTTTGACAGTCTTCTCCTATTAGAAGAATTTTTATATACTAAATTTTCCTTATTAAGTACCTTATTTATTTTGTGGAATTAAAAATTTAATAATTTTCTGTAGCTTCTACCTGCTAAAAAGCAAAATAAATATATAATATGTATACAAATTACTTAATCATTAAAATATATAATTTATTTCACTTTATACATACATAATCATTATTACGTCTTGAAATACCATTTCCCTAATAACATTAGTGTAAATTAACCTCACTGACCGCTTACTGCCCGGTAGCGTGGCTAACGCGACACCTGCGCCTGCGCACCTAACGCTCTCTAATGCCCTCTGTCTTACTCTAATACCGTGACGAATTCCGCTCATTGACGTCCTTATAAGATTACTGCGCTTTCATATGTACGTCATTTGAGAGCCTCAAGCCCTGTAAATCTGTTTTTGGCTAAGTATATAATATATATGAATATATTAGTAAGCTTTCTTGATCCAAATCACAGCTTCATAACTCAATACTCGTAATAATTTTAAAATTACTAAAATTATAGCATAATATCCCCGTTTTTTGGTTGCAATATAAATATCATGTAATTAATATGAAAATAAACATTTAATATGTACCTATCAAAAAATTCCTCTAATAAAAATCTAAGCTTTTAAAAGTAACACCTAAAAACTTACGTAATTATCCTTCATCCATTACATTATCCTTCAAACCACCTTATCATCCTCGGAAAATTCATTTTAAAAATATAATCTCGCCTAAAGCGCTCGGTAATCAAGAGGCTGCGTATCTAACTACAACTTTATACCGCGTTATCATCGGCGTATAATGAGTTATGCTGTTATATACGTTGGTCTTTTTGTGTCCGTCACGTATCGAAGGGCGTCATCCATCATCCAACGACTAATTGCCTGCTACCTTGCTTCTCTTATCCTTTTAATACGTCCTCCGCAACCTTTCCGAAGGTGTAATTGCGTGCCCATATTGAGGTTGCGAAACAGAAATAAGCTTTTATTTTCCTTTTGAGAAATTTGAAAATAACACAACAAAAGTGTATGTAATTTAAAGTGTTAATAAGTAATTTATTATATACTTTGAAAATCCATTTGTTTAATGGCAATGAGTTTAATTTGTATGTAATGGGAGTGAACAAATACTTATTAATCACACCTATGTAGGTAACAGGTAATTTTGTTATGTAATTTTTCTTTTCTATACTATAATAATATTATAAAGTACTTAATATTATTAACAGGTAAAGTTTGTGAGTTTGTGAGATTGTGAGTTTGTGACGTTGTAGAGACTCTGGATCTATGGAATCGATTTAGATGAAATTTGGTAAGAAGATAGTTTGCAACCCTGGGACGGACATAGGATACTTTTTATCCCAGAAATCACCCCTTAAAGGGGTGAAAATGGGGATGAAAGTTTGTACTGGGAAGCAAACTAGTGACGAACCCGAAAGAAGCGAGGGTGAGTAGCTAGTTTTAGCTACAGTGGACATTTGGAAGTATTCCCATTCGTCAATACGGGTCTTAATATTAAAACTTTATGAATTTTATCAATAATGAAGTAGGTACGTAATAGATAATAGCATGAAATGATAGACATAGGTATGTAGGTACAAAATAAATTGATAAGTGATGTGAGGACGATTTTACTGCAATGTGATAAAAAATAAAGTTTACACATTATTTATTCAATTGAATAAGCAAACCACAAAAGGGCCAGTACTCGAGAATACATACATCTGTAACAATGGCGTAATAAAATTAAGTAACCCATAAAATGTCTATAAAATTCTTATATAAATCTTATTCTTAGTTACACCTAACCTAAAAGATGATGTTTGGGGGAATCATGAACTGAAAAGAACGAGAAAAGTTCTTTCACCAACGTTTCGCTATTGCTGAAATAAATAAAAAAATAGCCAATACATAATATGTTTTTTTTTACTTTTAAATACTATCGCGTGAAACCTTCACTCATTAACAACCTTAGAAGATCTACCAGGACTTACCAGTTGCATGCAACCAGACTTGCACATACACTTTCCCCATCTGCTTTAGTAATACATTCAGCCGCATTTCTTATAAGTAGAACTAAGAGATAACAGTCAGTTAAAACCGTCAATCATAAATGTTATCTATTAAAGTTTTATCAAAAAGCTCTTATTGATTGTAACTATCCCCTTTATTATCTTAATATTGATATATATGTACAGGTATACTGTTTCTTGCTACGTTGTACTTATCTTAACTGTACAAATATTTTACAGGGAACAAAAATATTCATCCTTTGCTACAATCGAATCCCTGACCTTGGGGGTTTGCCTCCGGGTGCAGCTCTTAGTGGTACAAGATATATATATTTGATATACATATATACTTTTGTGTAACTTTTAATAGCTCTATCGAAACAATATAATGTAATTGATTTCAGATTGGATAGAGTAGCAAATTAACAACAACAAGATTAATAAAATATTAATAACAAAGTAGCAGTCGTGTACGAGCTGTGAAGACATCGCCGATCATACGAGCATGAAAACTTAATACAACAATGATACACAAAACCGTGTGCAATCCACTCTAGTCACGAACGTTGTGCACTCGCATATAAAACTAATCCTTGGACAGCCCGCTCCATCAAAGGGGTAGCTCGATTAAGTGAGTTTGAGTTTTATTTGCTGGGCCGGGGACGCGGGTCGTGTGAGCGGCGCCGCATTAATCATTAACGCAGCCTGCCTGCCTAATGACACCACCGAAATGGGCCGCCTAGTGATGTAACGCGTGATTATCGATGATTCTATTGTAATCGCCGTCTAACCGTGTTATTTTTGACACCTACAGATGAGACTCGTAATTGGCTACTGTGTCTCGCGTCGATCTGTAGTTTATAAATGTAAGAAATAGAATAAGATGTTCGAATACGAGAATCTAAATTAATGTTTATCTTTATGTAATGAAATCATGTAATAGTTAACTTAGATGAAGATATTAAAAGCATATTAATATTAATTAATTTAAATCACGGTCATTAGGCTTTAAAATTCTCTATGACTCCATGTATAAAAATTTTATGATTATTACTTGAAATATATAGTTATGCAACCGTGTATTCCAATATCGTCATATTTACCTCTCCGTCACTAAACCGATATTAGATGTCGCTATTAACTCCGCAAAACGTAATTAATCGAATAAGTTTATGATTGATATAACCAGTTTGCGGGGTGCTTAATTCACTTTCCCAATTTCTAAGACCCAAGCGCTTTTATAGAGTTACCCTTTGAGGAAGTTGATCGGTTCAACAATATAAGAGATTTCGTTATATTTCAATAAGATTCTTCTATTTTCTCACTACTGTGGTCAAGGAAGCGTAAATAACAAATTAAATAAGATTAAAGTAATAATACGAGAAACATATGTGCTAGTTTCTCCCAAATTACAGTGGCTATTATAGTGTATAATTGATGATGGTTTCATATCAAGTATAAATAAAATAATGAAAAGAGAAATCGGTCTAGTTTGTGAACGAAATAAATTATGTTCAGTTTCGTCTGGGTGGTTTATAAAATCGAGGGGAGCGACTTGTATCATGGCTCTATAGAAGTAAGTTAGCAACATTCTTAATTTGTCCAATTTCTTTTATAAATACGTATATATTATTATACATAAATAGATTACCTATCTGTCACAAGCTACATAAATGTACATATTTTGACGTACCTAAGTTACAGATAGACGCAAACATAAATTCGTTAAGATTATACGTGAATTGTGGATTTTATTGAAACATTTGCAATGTCTAGTAAGTTTTGATGTACCTACTTACATATAGCCATACTGAAATAACAAATAATATAAACAAATTAAAATTATAGCACCTATACCGATCAAACGCATATATAAACACTCGAATTAACACTTTGGGGATATACGCCTGATGAAGTGGCATGAAAAAGGCAACGTAAAAAGAGGGAGGTTTGGGGAGAGAGACGCAATTTGTAATATTTCACGAGCCAGTAGACGCTTATTAACTAGGCGTGCAAAAAACACGCAGATGCTCGCAACCTTTACTGACAATGACAAACGAGCCTAATAAAAATAGTTATATGAATATAATCGTTATATAACAATAAACTTTTATTTATTTATATTAAATAAATAACAATAGTTATACAATAATTTATTTTATAACTTGTAATCTGTAATCTATACATATCTATAAGAAAACAGTAATAGAGCCAAAAACTTTAAATGAAGCATTTTTTTAAAACTATAACAGTATTACGTATTGTATAAGGAATATAGATCCCTACCAGTCGTTGTTAATTTTTTTGTCTGTAGGTATGTCTGTCTGTAAGTAGGTAGATCTGTCTTTATGCATTTTAGACAAAAAGTACGGATTTTAACAAAATTTTGTAAAGTGATAATTTATTACTCGGGTTGACATTTAGGATATCTTTTATTACGGGAAAACCTCTCATTCCTATCGGAAAACACAATATCTAGTTCGGCGGAGTTTTTCTTCATACAAAAATTTCAATGATTGATTATACAATAACTATTAGTAGCAGGGCTAAAAAGTAAGATATTTAATAATTTAGTGCGGTAAAATCTCTCATTTTTATGGGAACATACAAAATTCAGTTCGGGCGTAACTAAGTCGCTCATCTGTACATATTACATTGTAGAAAACAAAGTCGCTGTCTGACTCTGTGTACTTCTCGGTTTATTTCCTTTAAACCACGCAACGGATTTTAAACGGTTTTCACTAATAGAAAGAGTGATAAATAGTGTTTTGTCAAAAAAAAATTCAAATGCTTAAGAGATATCTCAAAACAATGTCCTCAAAAATTGCAGGCCTTAAAAAGGCTTACAGAAAAATCCGCGATAAATGTATCTATCTCCTAAGTTACATTTCCACTATTTTTATCTATTTAAAACATACCCAGGAATGCACCTTTTTTTTAACGTTGTTAAATGCATTTACGCACGAAGTGTGGGACTCACCGGCGAAGCCAGTACTACCCACTAAAACCCAACAAAACCTTCCCCCGTCTTAATGGGGCGTCGCAGGATCGCTTACGCATTCAACTACGACACCTCTACGGCAGGTCTGCCGAAGCAGACCACAACAACCATGGGGTTGCTCCAAGGTCCACTCTGCTATCAGTGAAGTACCAGGAGCAACCCACATGGTACACCGCCCTCCGAAAAGGGCCGCCTCCCACCGCCCACCGAAGCGGGCCACCTCCCTGTGCGTTTCTTGGCTTCGCGCCCGGCTGTATTGCCGGGCACTACTGAGCCCCCCCACCACGATAAGGTGAATGCACGTTGGGGGGAACCCAGGGATGCAC